TTCAAAATATTTTGTAATTAAATGGGTTATTGACTAAAACTTAAATTTTGATATTAAAAGTTTTTAATGTGTTTATCAGCGTTTTAACGTGGGTCCTATTCTAGTACGTAATTAAATAAATCATCACATAATATTGGTTACACTTTGATGAGTTTAACGTTTCTTGAGAAGATCAAGTTGAGCATGACCAACAACTTAAACACTAGATTATACTTCTAATCACACATTGCATCAACTGAACCATCAAATCTGTGCTATATGGAAAAGCTCCGCAAGGCTCTTGTGTTGCTTGCTGTTTACATGACAAAGAATCTGTGTATATGAACATATTTAGACTCCAAAGTATTCAGCAAACATATTATAGAACAAAGAACATTTGTTTTGAACTGGAACATGTCACTGTTTTATATGCATCAATGTCACTTGTTAGGCCATCGAGATGGGGCGGCTTCATAAAACAGAATCACTGGCCGAACCTTCCTTTCTTCACAAAATTTGACCACATTCTTCCAGCTACCAACATCCTATGGCATCACCACACATTAATCAATCATCTCTAGCCTATCTAACTTCATAATTCACTTTGAGGAAGACCAAGATTAACTGTTTCGTCTTACCTCTCCTTCGAAAGACTCACGTCTGAGATTGACCCACCGAATCTTTTCATAAGCTAAGCAAATGTGTTCTTCTTCTTCCTCACCACAACCAACCTGCATCACATCCCATATATATTGTGAGGCTGTAACAGAGAAATGCAGAAGAACAATAGGACAAGTATTTGTGACCATGTTTTCGGATTTTTTACCATTGACACAAGCCGGTAGTTAGTGTTTTGTTCTAAGCCTCTGTAAAGCCTGCTGATATCTATCTCCCAGTCCAAAGCCTTTGTTGTTTCAGATAGTTCTTTTTCAGTTTCACTCTTATCCCATTGTAACACTAATGTTGCAAACCCATAAAACACCAACATTTTGTTTTATCATAAGATCATAAGTGAAATGAGTACATGAGATCACAATCATGGTTAAAACATACCGACTGTGAAGATAGGTGGGCAACTACTTATAATGTGATCAACAATGTTTGTCTCTCCACAGCCTCCTGTTTTAATGTCACATAACATTTGATATTGCATGCGAATCATGTTAAGGATATCCACAAACTTCATATTCCCAAAAGCACACTGCGTATATATAAACACAGAACAGCTTTACAAGAGGAAGTACCAGCTTCTGTAGAAAAGACAGAGGAAAATAAATGAAACATACCTTCTGGTCTCTGATTGAATCTGCAGCCATAACAATGCCATAAGAGATTTCCTCTGGATAATTTGACTTCCTTCTGCATTTTTTACAGCTCATTGTTTCATTAACCTCCAACGAAAAAAGCCGAGTCACCAAGCTTTCTCTTTCTGGATTTTTCCAGCACTGCCAAAACTCAAGGATCTCTACAAGGACCTCAGCAGCATCACTCGACTGAAATGAGTAAAAATAGAATAATTTTAACTAACAATTAAGCTTATTGACAAAAATAAAAATTAATAATACCATGCTTAGAAGCTTATCATCTCCACACGAACCATGGGAATAACTTCTTTTAGAGAAGCAAGCAAGTCGCTCAAGAGGACACTGTAGATTCCCTCATTTTTTATCTCCTCTGACACAAAAGCAGTAAAGAAATTTTGTAGCGCACATGGAACTTGTTCTCCCAGGTCATCTTGATATGGTTGGTCATTGTGCTTTAAATCTTCTTTGAGAACCTTCATGTTCAAGAGGGCCTGCAATACCACATGTTTTTGTGAACTTATCAAAGAGGTAAAGAGATATTGAAGCTGAAGATGAGAGTTTATGTATTAAATTGTGTTTTTGTTGGTAACTGCTTTACCTTAAGCGTCATGTCCAAAGCAGAATTGTACATGGCTGCAGCTCCTCCAGGCGCTGACTCCAAATGTTCCAGCAGTGAATCTTCTCCCAGCATGTTTTTCATATCTTGAAGATGGCAATGAAAATAAGAATTATGCATAACACAAAACAATTCAAATTATTGGTCAACTACGAAGCTCTTTACTAACCATGGTCAACAACTTTAGTAGCTTCCCCTTGATTGTCAGGGTTGGATGAATTTTCCAATCGACACATTTCACTTGCAAGAATATATTTTGGTTCCATGAAATCTTCTTCCACCGTCTTTAGTGATGGGGACGTACCTTCCGGTTCAAGGTTGACAGAAGGTTCACTGGACATGTAAGGAACACGTTTTGCTCAGAGAAATCCCAAAAACAATTTTATCAACACGCAAAAGAGACTCTTGAGGTACTTACTGTTCAACAATCTTATCAATCAAAAATATACGCGTTGAAGTTCTCTGTTGCACCAAAGAAAGCATTCATCCTTGCAACCGATTAACCAAAAATCAGAGAAGCAAATAGAGAATTTAGAACTACAAAGACCTTGATGTTTTTATTTTGCTTATTCTTCTTCGCTGACTGTGACTTCTTCTCCTCCTTTACTAAAAAATCTGCATTTGCC